GTAAAATAAAATTTATAAATACGTAATTAATTTTTTTTCCACTTCGCCTGTAAGATTCATTCGGTTATAAGAGTCACTTCACAATTGGTGCTGGTCCCAAAGTGAGTCTTATAAACGGCGTCTACTCTAATTGAAATTTATATTTGGTTGTTTCGAGATGATATTTAGACGAATTGATATGTTATACACTTATTCCTCGTAATCATTATTCATTATGATGTTTTTATAATGTTTGATTGTACTCTAATAGGTACAGATCAAGAACAAAAATTTGAAGAAGCCACACATTTTTTACAATACATAAACACTATAGTCTTTAATCTTATTTTAGAATTTTTTCCCCGACTAAATAATCTTAATGTAATTAATAAATTAAACACAACACATAATTACGATTTACAAAATTACAATGTTGGAGTCACAGTCCACAGATATCATATTATCATAATCAGACGCGAGCTGGCTTGGATGCTACAGCATCCTATAGTGATCGCCGTGCAGGACACGTTGAGCACAATTACAATTAATTATTTAAACGACGTATCACGTCTTCGTCAGTCTTGAGATGTTGTGTTGAGAAAGATAGGTAAAATAATTGTACACTGGTTCGTATTATTATAGAATAAAAACAATTTATTGTCAATTACAAAAAAAAAATATACAATAAAGCAAACTGTCGTAAACTTATTACCAAGCCTTCTAGCAGTGTTGACTATCTTTTAAAACATAGTAAGTGCTCTACCCTCTACCCGTAGGCCGCATTTATGAGGATCCTATCATTTATCAATGGCATGACATTATAATATTCTAATTTTACTCCCTAATATTGCTGGATTGCATTAATATGCGTAAAGGGAAAAACTACTTGTTGTTTTCACCTTTGATTTACCCATTTCCTGCTGTGTAGGCTTTTAAACATTTTACATATTCTATGTCTCATTACCTCATTATGAATTATACTACGTGTGTAATTTAGTATTCTACATTGTATTTATAAATTTACATTCTAGCATTATTATTATTATAACATTATTGGGTTTACTATAATCCCTTACCATAAAATATATTTCAATATTTTATCTAATTTGTTTATKATCTAATATTGCACAATTTTGTTTGAATGTTTGTTGTAACTTGGTACCTATTAACCCGTTTTAAATATTTTCAATATTTTATTAAAACAAAATRAAATATTATAATATTTTATAAATAATCTATATGTTTTAAATTAGCCCAAAACATTTTTGTTATTTGCCCTTTAAATTATGTAGCGTCCCGTGCCCTTTTTTACCAGCCCATGACTGTATTACATCACGATATTATCATATTATACATATCTGTGGACAGTGATTGGRATATAGTAATATTAGGATCTATAGAATCATAAAAAAAACAATTGAATAAATAATATGCATTTGAGGCCTAACTCTTATAGCGTTTTCGATTTGACGCACTTTTTGCACTCAGTGCGCACTGAGTGCAAAAACGTATTCGATTTGACCAAAATTCTGTGAACTGGTGGAGTGTTTTGTATTCGATTTGATTGCAGTGCAACACTCGTGTGCACTCAGTGCGCACTTTCTGCACCGCCGATTTTGTGAGTGTTTTTATTA